TGCATGTAAGGAGAGTTGTGTTACTTATGACCTTCCACACACGTTTGCAACTGTATAGACTCTTCATATCTTTCATACATCAATATTTTAATGCTATAAAAGACCTATAAGTCTTGTTTTTTAGTTTCAATATAGCACTTGCAGATCCAGGCTGTCAATAGCATGGGAACAGAGATGCCCAAACACCATGAGTTTCTAGGGCTTGTGTAATTTATACTTCTCTTTGCTTACTAATATTATGCATACGTTACACATTTTCTGTTTTATCAGTCAGCAGTGTGTGGTGATGACAGCCAGTCAGTGAGCAGTGTACAGTGAGGACAGCCAGTGAGAGGTTTGGGCAGTCAGTGAGCAGTGCTCAGTGAGGACAGCCAGTCAGTGAGCAGGGTGCAGTGAAGACAGCCAGTCAGTGAGAGGTGTGGACAATCAGTGAGGACAGCCAGTCAGTGATCAGTGCTCAGTGAAGTCAGCCAGTAAGTGAGCAGTATGCAGGGAGGAGAGCCAGTCAGTGAGCAGTATGCAGTGAGGACAGCCAGTTAGTGAGCAGTGTGCAGCGAGTACAGCCAGTCAGCAATGTGAGAGGTGAGGACAACCAATGAGAGGTGTGGGCAGTCATTGAGGACAGCCAGTCAGTGAACAGTGTGCAGTGAGGACAGCCAGTCAGTGAGCAGTGTGCAGCGAGGTCAGCCAGTGAGCGGTGTGGACAGTTAGTGAGGACAGCCAGTCAATAAGCAGGGTGCAGTGAGGACAGCCAGTCAGTGAGCAGTGTGGAGCGAGGACAGTCAGTCAGAGAGTAGTGAGGACAGCCAGTCAGTGAGCACAGCCAGTCAGCAGTGTGCAGCGAGAACAACTAGTGAGAGGTGTGGGCAGTCAGTGAGGACAACCAGCCAGTCAATCAGCAGTTTGCAGCGAGGACAACCAGTGAGAGGTGTGGGCAGTCAGTCAGTGAGCAGTGTGCAGTGAGAAGAGCCAGTCCGCAGTGTGAAAGGTGAGGACAGCCAGTGAGAGGTGTGGGCAGTCATTGAGCAGTGGTCAGTGAGGACAGCCAGTCAGCAGTGTGCAGTGAGGACAGCCAGTCAGTGAGCAGTGTGCAGTGAGGACAGCCAATGTGAGAGGTGTGGAAAGTCAGTGAGGACAGCCAGTCAGTGAGCAGTGTGCAGTGAGAAGAGCCAGTCCACAGTGTGAAAGGTGAGGACAGCCAGTGAGAGATGTGGGCAGTCATTGAGCAGTGCTCAGTGAGGACAGCCAGTCAGTGAGCAGTGTACAGTGAGGACAGCCAATGTGAGAGGTGTGGACAGTCAGTGAGCAGTGTGCAGTAAGGACAGCCAGTCAGTGAGCAGTGTGTGGCGAGGACAGCCAGTGAGAGGTGTGGACAGTCAGTGAGCAGTTTTACAGTCCTTTGTGTGCAGTGTAAGGGTTGAAGCCTCACAGATGGAGCATGGAGGGAATTTGTGGCATGATAACGATAAACCTGTCCTCATCAACCACTTAGCCCATTGCTGGAGGTACAGGACTCCTGGGCTGCAATCTCTGCTCCACCTCCTTCCCAGTTTCAGCCCTCTCGATCCGCCAGAGAACCCACCTGTGAGTAGGAGGGAGATTTTGATCACACCCCAATCCCGCTCACCACTTCCTCAGCCTGGGAGATTCTGCAAAGCTGAGAGACCCCACCTGCTGCAAGCCTCACCATTAGGGTTGCCACCTCATCCCTTTAAAACTGATCACATATTAATTCCACAGATTCTGAGGCTAATTTAATGCAGATAAGGCACTAAGTGGGTTTAACCACTTCTGGACCACCCTATAGCAGAAATACTGCTACAGGGCTGCACGGGTGTGCAAAATCACGTATATACATGATTTTGCATTTCCGGGTAGGGGTCACGTGCGTGCCCCACTGCTATTCTTGGCTGCAGCTGTCACTCGCCAGGTCCCGGTCGGTAATTACCCACCTGTGCCCCGTGATTACCGAGCATCTCCGACGGGGAGGAAGATTTTGTTTTGTTTACTAACAGTCTTCCTCCCTGTCGGCACAGAAAAACCATCCAGAGCAGTGTGCTTACAGTGAAGCATACACCCCCCCCGCCCCCTAGTAAAACACTCCCTGCACATAGTTATCCCTTTGATCGCCCCTCATATTAACGCCTTCCTGCCCAGTGCCATTAGTACAGTGTCAGTGCTTTTTTTTTTAGCACTGATCACTGTATTGGTGCCACTGGGGATGGCAGTGACACCAAGTCAGTTCCCCCCAATGTCAGAATGCCCACCACAGTCCCGCTAAAAGTCACTGATTGCCACCATTACTAGTAGAAAAAAAAAACCCAGTATCTATACCACCATTTGTAAACGCCATAACTTTCACATAAACCAATTAATTTACACATATTGGGATTTTTTTTTAGGAAAGACATGTAGCAGAATACATTTTGGCCTAAATTTATGACGAAATTTGATTTTTAAAATTTTTCTACTGGACATGTTTAATAGTAAAATTTCCAAAATATTGTTTTGGTTTTTTTTTCAAAATCATCGGTTTTTTTTTTTTTTTTTATAGTGCAAAAAATACCACCGAAAGAAAACTCAATTTGTGGGGAAAAAAAGGACGTAAATTTCGTTTGGGTACAGCGTTGCATGACCGCGCAATTGTCAGTTAAAGTAACGCAGCGCTGTAATGCAAAAAAATGGCCTGGTCAGGAAGGGGGGTAAATCCTCAGGAGGGCAAGTGGTTAATGACTACCTTAATCAGCCACAGAACCTGTGTAATTCATATGTGTTCAGATTTAAAGGGATGAGGTGGCAACCCTTCTCAGCATGCTGTGTGCTTGGCACTAGAGGGACACTGCAGCTGGGGTAGAAAGCAATAGGCAGACCTTGCTGACCCCGTGAAAGGGATGGTAGCAGAGATGGGGGTGAACCCAAGGACCCCCCCTGGCGCTGTCCCTAGATTAAGGTACACCCCCTGCGTACACCTATGATGAAAAGACTTCCACTCTTTGTGCAGATCTCCAGCTCCTCCCACCCCCTGCTCTGCTGATAGGATGACATTGTTGGTGGAAGAACTGGTAGAGGAGACACAGGCATGATAGGCATGACCACATAGCGGGAGGTAAGTGGTAACTGTTGTCTTTGTTAGCCCTGTCTGGACTGAGGTCACCGCTTACCTCCCGCTATGTGGCCATGCCTGTTTTGTAGCTTGGTGTGCCCTATGACCAATCCTGGTCTGGTGTTATCTCCCATATAGGCCTCTATGATTAAGCTACACATGGGAAAAATTCATTAGGGGGGATTCCTCTATGGGTGGAGAACTGAGCTGAAGCCAGTTCTCATCATCTTTCACCATTTTAGCTTTACAATCTCCTGATCCTGTGTGCAGCCAGGCACCATTCTTGTACTGTCTTGTAGTCCTGGCTGAGCTTGATGAGCCTTATATCCTGACCAGCACAGCATACAGTGTCACCAGCCACAGGACCTACCTTCTGGAGCATTATAGTGGTACTGTTTTTTTAGTTCATGCGCATGCGCGCTGCCCTACCCGCGTCCCCAATGGCGGCTAGGCACGTCAATCACCGGGTACTGGCCGGTTCCACACCGGCACCCGACGATCGCCGAGTAACACTGACAGGGGAGTGACCTGTGTGTAAACAACACAAGTCTCTCTCCTGCCAGCAAGAACGTGCTGCTGTGTATTTCTCTGAACAGCAGAGAAATACACAGCAGCATGTTTCCCTAGTAAAACCGCACATGATTGAAAACAGCACACAGTTAACCTTTTGATCACCCCAGATGTTAACCCCTTCCTGCCCAGTGTCATTAATACAGTGTCTGTACTTTTATTAGCAGTCTCTCACTGATCACTGTATTAGTGTCATTGTGATGTCAGTGGCAGTTAGTTCTCCCCAATGTCAGAATGCTCGCCATAGTCCCACAATCCTGCTATACGTCGCTGATCGCTGCCATTTCTAGTAGAAAAAAAATTACAATTCCAGTATATATACCACCATTTGTAAACGCTATAACTTTCACGTAAACCAATTTATTTACACGTATTGGGATTTTTTTTTTAGCAAAGATGTAGCAGAATACATTTTGGCTGAAATTTATGAAGAAATTTCATTTTTTTAAATTGTTTTACTGGGATATGTTTTATAGCAAAAAGTCAAAAATATTGTTTTTTTTTTTTTCTCAAAATTGTTGTTTGTTTATAGCGCAAAATATGAAAAACACACAGGTGATCAAATATCACTGAAAGAAAGCTCTATTTGTGCAAAAAAGGAAATACATTTTGTTTGGGTACAGCGTTGCATGGCCGCACAATTGTCAGTTAAAGTAATGCAGCGCCGTATTGCAAAAAAATGGCCTGGTCAGGTAGGGGGGTAAATCCTCTGGAGGGCAAGTGGTTAACAAGAGTGAGCGGACTTACATTTTGTGTGATTCAGTATGCTGCTGGTAGAAATATTATTAGTGTAAAAACTACCATCTTGTGGACAGAAACAGGAACTGCAGCTATACTGAGGCATCAAACCTTGGCTTGCTTGTCTTAGAGGTCCACATAATATAATACATCCAGCTGAGACTTGACTTTTATTTGAAATATTGATAAATTTATGCATTAGGTGACCTGTTTAATTTTAACCACTTGCCCTCCTGAGGATTTACCCCCCTTCCTGACCAGGCCATTTTTTGCGTTACGGCGCTGTGTTACTTTAACTGACAATTACATGGTCATGCAATGCTGCAGCCAAATGAAATGCACCTCCTTTTTTTTCCCCACAAATTGATCTTTTTTTTGGAGGTATTTGATCACCTGTGCATTTTTTATTTTTTGTGCTATAAAAAAAAAGGCCGACAATTTTGAGAAAAAAAGCATTTTTGACTTTTTGCTATTAAACATGTCCAGAAACAAAATTAAAAAAAAATGTAAAAAATCTAATTTCATCATAAATTTAGGCTAAAATGTATTCTGCTACATGTCTTAGCTAAAAAAAAAATCCCAATACATGTCAATTAATCGGCTTACGTGAAAAGTTATAGCGTTTACAAATGGCGGTATAGATACTGGATTTTTTTTTCTACTAGTAATGGCGGTGATCAGCAACTTATAGCGGGACTGCGGCGGACATTCTGACACTGGGGGTGAACTGACTTGGTGTCACTGACATCCCCAGTGACACCAATACAGTGATCAGTGCTAATAAAAAGCTCTGACACTGTACTAATGTCACTGGGCAGGAAGGGGTTAACATGAGGGACGATCAAAGGGTTAACTGTGTGTAGGGAGTGTTATACTAGGGGTCTATGTGTTGGTGCTTTACTGTAAGCACACTGCTCTGTATGGCTGTGCTGTGCAAAAAAAACCACATTGTTTCAGAAAATTGGGGACCATTGAAATATAAGAAGAAAGTATGCTTAGCCTCAAAAGGAAATAGCCTATTCTTTAACAAGGGCATTTTTCTACTGTAAATAAATATACTAAATACTAAACGGAAAAACTCCACTTTCAGTAAAGATTTAGCCATTTTGTAACTGAATGTTATGAAAACTTTCCTTTTTGATATGCAGCCACCTGTGATTTTCTGAAACTGTCAAAACAATAGAATAAGAATAACCTCTGCTTCACATATGTGCGGGTGGTGCGGCTGCGGATCTGCACAAAAGCCCATGCAACCACACCACCCGCACAGAGGAATGCGGACCTGCGGGCTGGTGCTATTAATTCTAATTTCCACACTGGAAATCGCAACTGTAGTGCAGGGGCGGACTGACAACTCATGGGGCCCCCGGGTATTAGGGGATCATGGGGCCCCTGTATCCTTGCCCAAACTCAAAAAAGCCTATGAAAAAGGTACCAGGGGCATCTCATGGGGCCCCCTACTGACCCCGGGCCCGTGGGCAGTGCCCGAGTTTCCAAATGGTCAGTCCGCCCCTGCTGTACTGGGAACCGAGGTTCCTGTGCGGGCTGCGTTTTCTGAAGAAGTGCAGGGACTTCTTCCCTGCATGTCCCAGGGAACAGGAGCCCATTCAAATGCAAAATGTGGCCTGCAGGAACGTGGAGATGTGAACCTAGCCTTAGGCTAGGTTCACACCTATGCAGGTTGCATTTGAGTTGTTTCTGCATTGCGTTTTGCATGTTTGCACCTGTGTTTTTGACGCGTTTTGCTTTTTTCTAATTTTTTCTTGTTGCTATGCAGATTTAAAATGCAAAACTTATCAAAAACGCAATACATGCTTTTCCACAGCATTTCCATTGAAGTCTGTAGAACCAAAAACGCAACATTTTAAATTCAAAAAAGTGCCTGACCCTTTCCAAAAAACGCACCGGGTGAAAACATGCAGATGTGATGCAGATGCCTTATACGAAATCATGTTAAATGGACTGTAGTGCATTTCTGTAAAACGCTGCAGAGAATGCTTAGATGTGAACCAAGGGTAAAAAATGCCCAGATACACACATAGGTGTGATCTATACATGCAGATGTTTCCAACTCCAGGTATGAAATAAAGCAAACTTATGTTGCACAGAATTGAGCAGAACTGCAACTGCATCAGGGAATACAAACAGAAATATGTGTATAAGGTGTTGATTGTACACAAACAATAATAAAGAAAGTGATAATGCCCATGGCAAATAACAAACAGGTACTAACAAGCAGTGATCCACAAAACTGCAATGCAGGTGTTGCCTATAGCTGGCCATAGATCGATATTTACCAGGTCCCTATTGAACCAGCTGAATTTAAATCCATTGATAGCAGTCCCTGTTAAATCATTAGATTGACTTCTCTTGAACAGGAATCTTGGAATGCTTTTGATGATCAGCGCTGCAGCCGCTGATCAGTGTTTTCTGACAGTGGAGGAGTCCTGCTATCAGAATAGAATGTCCCAGTGGAGAGGATTCCTCCATCCATCTTGCTTGTAGAAATTCACACCAAATATGCTGAGAAAGGTTTACGTATCCTCGGCTTTCCCTGCAATCAGTTTGGAAAGCAGGAACCTTGGGATGAAGCTCAAATTAAACTTTGAAGCATCCTACAATGTGTTCATTAAAAAAAAAAAGCTGAATCATCTATGGCCAGCTTAGCCACTTGCCCTCCAGAGGATTTACCCCCCTTCCTGACCAGGCCATTTTTTGTGTTACGGCACTGCGTTATTTTAAGTGACAATTGCGTGGTCATGCACCGCTGAACCAAAATGAAATTTATGTCCCTTTTTCCCCACAAATAGAGCTTTCTTTTGGTGGTATTTGATCGCCTGTGTGTTTTTTTATTTTTTGCACTATAAAAAAAAAAGACTGACAATTTTGAGAAAAATTTTTAAAAAAATCAAATTTCGTTATAAATTTATGCCAAAATGTATTCTGCTACATGTCTTTACTAAAAAAAATTCCAATACATGTAAATTAATTGGTTTATGTGAAAATAGTGTTTACAAATGGCGGAATTTTTTTTTTTTGCTAGTAATGGCGGCGATCAGCAATTTATAGCGAGACTGCAGCGGCATTCTGACACTGGGGTAAACTGACTTGGTGTCACTGACATCCCCAGTGACACCAATACAGTGATCAGTGCTAATAAAAAGCACTGACACTATACTAATGGCACTGGGCAGGAAGGAGTTAACATCTGGGGTGATCAAAAGGTTAACTGTGTGCTGTGTGTGTTTTACTATGGGGTTGTGTCTGTGCTTTCCACTGTGTGCTGGAGCTGACGGGAGAGAACTGTATAGTTTACATACAGTTCTCTCCCGTGTCGGTATTACTCGGTGATCACCGGGTGGCAGTGAGCAATCACCAGCAGGGACCTGGTGACTGACCGCTGAACGCCCCCCCCTACCCGGAAATGCAAAATCATGTGATTTCTGCTATAGGGCAGCAGTAAAGCAGTTAAAGTGTTTTCTAATCCCAGGAATCTTCATTCACTATATCCGGTCTCCAACAGTACACACAACATGGAAACACAATTATTTTAGTAAATATAAACGGCAAAATACCTTTTTTTGCAGCAGTATATAACAGTCTTGTGACTTCTATCAGTGTCTGGCTGAGCACTGGTTAAACCTGGTAGGAGAAATTTTAATTTTGCTCTAGGAGGATGCAGAACCCCTTACCTCTGTCTGGACAGTGCTGAATGGCCCTGTACTGATCACATGCACTCTCCCAAGAAAAAAAATACACACCAAACTGAGCATGTGCAGAGTGACTCCACACCATATGTCTTCTCAGGAGATAAGAGGGGGAAACTGGAATTAGGAGAGGATCAGAGAAGCCAGGACCAAACAGCGGTTTTACACAATGCAGAGGATTAACCCCTTAGGTTTCACAGTGAGTATAACAAGCATGCTTTACTCCATATACAGACTGATTTTACTGTTGTGGGTTTAGTAACACTTTAAGGCCCCATTCACACACTGTTTGGGAATACCTGTGGGAAACTCAGACTGTCTCCGCCTGGGGCAAATCATTCACAGGTAATCACTGCACCAACAATAACATTTAAACAGCTGTGGGCGCTGTCAGGCTCCCATTACTTTCAATGGGGCTTCCTGTCCGCATCTAATCATAGGGAACCCATTAAGTGATCTGTGGGTAATCTCAAATAGCCCCATTCACAAGTGAGAAGTAAGCAGGCAAGACGAGGTCAGGGCAGTACTGAGATGTTGCACTGACTTTGCCAGTTGGTCAGATAAATGCAGGATTCAGTTGAATATCTAGCAGAATGCTATAGTGACCAGCTGTTAGAGATCGGTGGATCAAAAGGCTTCCAACAGCCAGGCACAGAAGGTGACATGGTTGTAAACCTCAGACATGAAATATTAACAAAGCATAGTCCTCTATAGTGTGTACTTTTCCCAATTAAGAGCACTAAGTGTCATTTCTGTCTGCTGCTATCAGCATGAGTCACTTCTGACAAGTTTTCCTGACACCAAGAGGAAAAAAGAGACAGGGGAGGGAACTCCAGCAGATTAACAGCCTCAGCTCTGTTCCTGAGTATTGTGTGGAGGGGGTGTGTCTTTTCTCTCCAATCAGCTCTCAGAGCTCTCTTCTCTGAGCTCTGCAGTGTGTCATTTCAGCTCTCCACTCCCTTTTTTCTGAACTCACAGACAAGTTTTATAAATTCAGCACTTTGAATAGAAGAAGAGATGAGAAGACTGCAGATAGATAAGTACAACTTATGTAGGAGGATTTGTTTCATCTCTGTGTATCACCTGAGGCCAGTCACTTCACTGGGTATATGTGAGGTTTACAACCTCTTTAAGGCCTCGTTTACACCATGGTGCAGAGATATCAGTTTTTCTGCACGCATTCTGCAAGCGCACAAAAAAAAAGTTCTTTATGTGCCCTGTTTCACACCACAACACTAGTATCATGTGCAGATTTTTTTCTGCGCAGAAATCTGCGTTGTGTTTAAAACTCACTGAGAAACTGATGTAAACTCATGTCTTTTGCAAGTGAAATCTGCTCGGTTTTCATACACGTATGGTGTGAATGAGACCTAAAGCAGAACTAAACCCATTGATTTAACAGCTTCTGCCAGTACTTGTCATTACCTGGGTTACCTGCTGGTGGCACTGTTGTTCCCGAAGTTGAAGGATGCAGTTCCAGCGGCCAGCAGCTGGGCTGTCCGAGCAATTAGACTGCACCTAACATGTTTTGCTGGGAGGTATATAATCCTGCCTTGGGACTGAAATTCAGTGCTTCAGGGCCAGTTCACACTACTTGGGTTGCAGTTGCTTTTTTTCTGCATCCAAAATGCACAGAAAGTAGGTTATATGGTTGTCAATGTCATGGTTCAGATCAGTGCTTGCAGTTCCAGTGTGTTCTGGATGCAGAAAGTAGAACAGGCTGCATTTTTCCTGCACAGAACTGTACTGGAATGCAGTAAAACACATCAAAAAAACACACCCAAACACACCAAAACGCACCAAAAACACACTGTAACGCACTTGTCCCTATTTATATTTAAGAAAAAGAGGGGGGGGGGGAATTAACTGGAACGCATCAAAAACACACCGGAGCATCAAAATGTGCATTCAGAAATGGATCTGGAACGCATCTAGACTGCATTTCTATAGTGTGACCCAACCCTGAGTGTTCTTCCTGTGAATTGTGTTCCTGTCTGATCTTGATCCTTGTTCCTGTGACCTGCTCCCTACATCCAGCTTCCAGTACCCTGCTCCCTGCATCCAGCTTCCAGTACCCTGCTCCCTGCATCCAGCTTCCAGTACCCTGCATCCAGCTTCCAGTACCCTGCATCCAGCTTCCAGTACCCTGCTCCCTGCTTCCAGTACCCTGCTCCCTGCATCCAGCTTCCAGTACCCTGCACCCAGCTTCCAGTACCCTGCATCCAGCTTCCAGTACCCTGCTCCCTGCTTCCAGTACCCTGCTCCCTGCATCCAGCTTCCAGTACCCTGCACCCAGCTTCCAGTACCCTGCATCCAGCTTCCAGTACCCTGCTCCCTGCATCCAGTACCCTGCTCCCTGCATCCAGCTTCCAGTACCCTGCTCCCTGCATCCAGCTTCCAGTACCCTGCTCCCTGCATCCAGCTTCCAGTACCCTGCATCCAGCTTCCAGTACCCTGCTCCCTGCTTCCAGTACCCTGCTTCCTGCATCCAGCTTCCAGTACCCTGCTCCTGCATCCAGCTTCCAGTACCCTGCTCCCTGCATCCAGCTTCCAGTACCCTGCTCCTGCATCCAGCTTCCAGTACCCTGCTCCCTGCATCCAGCTTCCAGTACCCTGCTCCCTGCATCCAGCTTCCAGTACCCTGCTCCCTGCATCCAGCTTCCAGTACCCTGCATCCAGCTTCCAGTACCCTGCTCCCTGCTTCCAGTACCCTGCTTCCTGCATCCAGCTTCCAATACCCTGCTCCTGCATCCAGCTTCCAGTACCCCTGCTCCCTGCATCCAGCTTCCAGTACCCTGCTCCCTGCATCCAGCTTCCAGTACCCTGCTCCCTGCATCCAGCTTCCAGTACCCTGCTCCCTGCATCCAGCTTCCAGTACCCTGCTCCTGCATCCAGCTTTCAGTACCCTGCTCCCTGCTTCCCTTGTTTCCTGTCTCTGTCCTGACCTTGCCCTACTCATGTGTGAGATTGCCAAGAAACACTGACAAGGGAGAGGTCTGTATGCAAACAATATAAATCTCTCCCCTGTCAGCACCAGCACGCTGCTTTGTATTGCTCTGCATAGCAGAGCAATACAAAGCAGGGTGCTCACACAGTAAAGCACACACATTAAAACACCACATAGCACACAGTTAACCCATTTGATTGCCCCAGATGTTAACCCCTTCCTGCCCAGTGTCATTAGTACCGTGTCAGTGCTTTTTATTAGCACTGATCACTGTAATATTGTCAGTGGGGATGTCAGTGGCAGTTAGTCATTGTCAGTTAGTGTCAGAATGCCCGCCCCAGTCCCGCTATAAGTTGCTGATCGTTGCCATTGTTAGTATAACATGTATTTATTTATTTATTTTTAATTCCAGTATCTGTACCGCCATATGTAGACGCTATATACTTACATGTAAACCAATTAATTTACATGTATTGGGATTTTTTGTTAGCAAAGATATGTAGCAGAATACATTTTGGCCTAAATTTATGACGAAAGTTGATTTTTAAATTTTTTTATTGGGCATGTTTAATAGCAAAAAATCAAAAATATTGTTTTGTTTTTTCAAAATTGTTGTTTTTTGTGTTTATAGCACAAAAAAATAAAAAAACACACAGGTGATCATATATCACTGAAGGAAAGCTCTGTTTGTGCAAAAAAGCACATAAATGTCATTTGTGTACAATGTTGCATGACCGCGCAATCGTCAGTTAAAATAATGCAGCACCGTATTGCAAACAAAATGGCCTGGTCAGGAAGGGGGATAAAACCTCTGGAGGGCAAGTGGTTAACAATAGTGAGCGGACTTACATTTTGTGTGATTTGGTATGCTGCTGGAAGAAATATTATTAGAGTGAAAACTACCATCTTGTGGACAGAAACAGGAACTGCAGCTTTTTTTTTCATAGCACAAAAAATTAAAAATACAGAGGCAATCAAATACCACCAAAAGAAAGCTCCATTTGTGGGGAAAAAAAGGACATACATTTCATTTTGGTGCAGCGTTGCATGACTGTGCAATTGTCAGTTAAAGAAACGCAGAGCCGTATCACAAAAAATGGCCTGGTCAGGAAGGGGGGTAAATCCTCTGGAGGGGGAGTGGTTAAACATCTAACCCTCACCCTTCCTGTAAAATCTAATGTGGTTGTAAACCTCAGACCTCAAATTTGAACAAAGCACATGCTGTATTTCTTTAGTGTTTGCTTATTTGCGCATTTCTTCTGTTATCACAAGCACCGATTGAAGCTTTTGGGACTATATGGGCACTATCTAGTCACTGACACAAATTATTTGCCCCATATAATTGTATATTTTCAGTCACTGATATGAACTATATGTCATATTTGTTTATTTATTTGATCTTTGCGCATTTTTAATTATATAAATTGTAAGCATTGCACATATACACTTTATGTTTTATTTGGTTGCCTCAGTGCTAAGCTGTTAACTAGCCTTCATTTGAATTTTTGAAGTGTGCTCATATATATTGCTTATTTACATCTAATTTTATTATTCATTGTGTTTACCTCCCTTTCATCTGAATCATCACTTTAGCACTGCACTATTTTATTTATTCTATGTGCTTATAAAGTCCATATTTCACACTCCAAACATTTTTTTGTCTTAAGGTGAAGATTGTATTTTCTCACTGCAGGATGGTGCCCCATGTACCTTGAGTGGAGTGTTAATGTACTCAGTGACCCAAGTTATGGAAGAGATTCTATTTCTGCTTGTTACCATAGGTTCTAGACTGTTTATTGTGTTGTTACACTGAAGATGTGCTATACTGTGGGACTATAGGGACTGTAACCTGTTCCTTAACAAAATTTAGGTTAAGTTAAAGCAGGCAAATCCTGGCCCTATTACTGTTTCAGTGGAAAAAAAACTGTTTTACTAAAGGAGGACTGTTCAATTCATTTGTGAAGTAAAGTTAACTTTTAAGTGTTGGTGCAAACCTGGTCAGCCACAGAGTGGGTGATGGCTGGAAGAACAGAGTCACCCTCCTGGTGGAGAGAGATGACCCTCTCTTTCCTGGACCACGGGTAGGACCCAGGCCTGTGAAAGAAGGTGCTTTGGGCGCTAAGGGATTAATGAACTGTAACCAAGAAAATTAAAGAGAAAGAGTGGCTTATGGCCTGCATCCATGCATGTGGTTAAAGTGTGAGCCTGGCAAAGAAACCAATTAAATGAGTAATGCTCTGTCTGCAGAAAGGTTTCTCAGCTGCATGTGTTGGACATGTGTATGGACAAGGGCAGTCTGCTGACACACAAACCACAAAGATACTTGGGGATACAATAAAACATCTCGAAGCCTTTGACTTGCTGCTAAAATAGAGGGCTTCATCATTGGGGTTTATGGAGTTAATAGCAATGTACGCACAGCACACCACTGGCTCAGTGGAGAGGATAAAAGAGCTGCAAGAGCTGGACTATATTACAGCTAATTCATCCTGCTGGATCCCTTCAGCTCAATGGTAGTTTTGTTTCTGTGACATCCAAGCACCTCTAGATTCTTCTTTCACTCTTGGTGCTCTGATCCTTCAGTCTCCACCACTTATACTACCTTGCTTCAAAAATGATACCTGGTTGGTATAGCTGCAAACAAATAATGTTTGCACAGCTCTGAAAGTCTGAAGTCTCTTCATAACAGAAAATCACTTTTGACTAATTTGTGTCTCAGAAAGTTTTCTAATTTTCCCCTTTCATTTCCAACAGGACTTGGGAATGCTGACTATGTATACTTTAGCTATTTTTGATAATGTCATGCCACAGGAAAATATAATTTTTAAGTGGGCCTGAACTCAAAAGGTGAAGATTTACTACTCTATGTGCCATTGGCTCCAGCTGCTGTCAATCCAATCCTAGGAGGAGGGATCAGGGGTGGGGCAGAGTCCCGCTGTCTATGTATATGGATGCAGTCAGTGGGGTTCTGGAGCAAGCCTGTGCGAGTACCCTCCCTAGCAAGCATTAAGCACAATAAAATAAACATTCCCCAGTACACTATTTGTTAAACTTCTTACCAGCAGTTGTAGTTTACAACTTTCTTGCACTGCTCGCTCCTTCTCTCTCAGTATTTCCCTGATCTTCTGATATTACTGGAAAAAGTTAACAGTGGACAGTGCAGTCTCCAGCTGGTCTGCTAGTTTGTAGAAGGGAGGGGGAGGAAATGGGAGGAGCAGAGAAGTGCCTTGCCACTCTAGGCCACCATGCTGTGTACGTCTATTAATGCACACAGTTTAGGGAAACACAACTCTAGTCCCTGCATGCAAGGGTGGCTCCATAGGACACTGTAAGAGAAAGGAGCCACACTGAAGCAGGAAACCTGAGGTACAAGTCATGGCGCCAGCTTAAACTGGAGCATAGGCAAGGGTTAAAAGATAAAGAAGCTGCATTCTCCATAAGTGATTAAATAAGCTGCTGTAAGTGCTTAAAAACTGAGGGTTTAATGACAGTTTAAAAAAAATTTCAATTTATGGTCAAGTTTTTCTCTGAAGAATAACAAAATATCTGATACACTTTCTGAGTGAGATAGAATAAAAGACCACTGCGTAATTGCTTTCAATGCTGGTATTATGTGCTTTTTCCATGTTTGAATGTTTGCATCTTATAAAACTGTAGCCAAACATTTATGAGCCACCTTAAGATTTGTATGCAAAATGTTTTTTTTTTACATTTCCTGGTATTTTAAGAGGATTTAGCAAGACACATTTAGAGCAACTTAACCTTGTGATAGTTCTGGGTCATTTAGGACAATCAGTTATTAGGGGCAAGCTGATAAAAGAAGAGCCATGGTCATATAACTGTAGAGGAGAATCAGTTGGAGGTCTGGTCTGGATATAGCAGGATTCCTGAGAAAGAAGAGTCATTGAGATTATCTCCATATATGCCTCCAAAATCTTCCCCATAGATTTGCAGCCAGACCTCATCTCCAGCATCCAGGTGCAATAAGACGGAACCAGAAGCCTGGTCTACATTGTTGGACTGGAACTGGTCAAAGGTGAACATAATGGGCTTGCTATTCTTGTAAAGCCCAACCTTGACATCCTTCATATAAACAGTTAGATGATAGGTGAACAAGTAAAGACCCTTAATATTGCAGCTGAACTTGCCTGTGCTATCATCATAATGGCGCTGTTCATTGTAAAAGACTTTGGTGAAGCGGATAGGAACATTTGGGGTGGGAACTCTGCCAGTTAGTCCCATACTAAAGGCTGAGTGATGTAAGAATGGACTCTCCCCCATCTCCCCTCGGGCTCCTGGAAATCCCCGCGGGCCCTCTGGTCCTAAGGGTCCTTGCTCGCCAACGTCTCCTTTTTGCCCAGGAACACCTGAAAATATTGATATTCATATTATTATTGTAAGGATAACTTTGCAAATGACAGATAGGATTAGCTTTTTTAAAGTAAGGCTCTTTATTCTGTTCTTTTTATAGGAAAGATCTGTTGGTACTGGGTCAATTTTATTTTAATTTTTGTTATGTTATAGGTTAACATTTTTTGTGCTTTTTATGATTTCTGTGCATTCTTTATTTTACAAGTAAACATTTAATGCTTAAAAAAGAATTCCCAAATCAATGTTTTAGCTAAAGAGATACCACTGCAGCGTTTTTTTTGGAGTAGAATGTGGCACTAAATAGTTTGCCACATAATATAAACAAGGTGCTTCTTTAAACAAATCTGAATTAGCTGTACAGTATAAGGGAAAAAGGAGACTAGATTGATATATTCTGGCTGCATACAAGACTGCAACATATTACATGTATGCAATGGAGTTGATTTACTAAACTGGAGAGTGCAAAATCTGGTGCAACTTTGCAAAACCAATCAGTTTCTAGATTTATTTGTATAAGCTGGAGTTAGATATTTCCTTCACTGTGTGTGTGTGTGTGTATATATATATATATATATATATATATATATAAGTATTTGATCCCCTGCTGATTTTGAATATTTGCCCACTCACAAAGAAATGATCAGTCTAAAAATCGAATGGTAGGTGTATTGTAACACTGAGAGAAAGAATAGCAACAAAAAAATTCAAACGAAATGCATGTCTAACAAATTATACATGGATTTGCATGTTCATGAGGGAAATAAGTATTTGATCCCCTATCATTCAGCAGGATGACTGGCTACCAGGTGTCTTTCATACAGGTAACAAGCTGGGATTAGAAGCAGTCTCTTAAAGGGAGTGCTGCTAATCTCATTTTGTTACCTGTATAAAAGACAACTGTCCACAGAAGCAATCAAACAATCAGATTCCAAACTCTGCACCATTGCAAAGACCAAAGAGCTGTCCAAGGATGTCAGGGACAAGATTGTAGACCTACACAAGGCTGGAATGGACTACAGTTGGTGCAACCATTCGCAATTGGAAGAAACACAAAACAACTGTCAGTCTCCCTAGGTCTGGTGCACCATGCAAGATCTCACCTCGTGGAGTGTCAATGATCATGAGAACAGTGAAGAATCATCAGAGGAACTACACGTAAGGATCTTGTCAATGATCTACAGGAAGCTGGGACTACAGTCACCAAGAAAACAATTGGTAACACACTACGCCGACAAGGATTAAAATCCTGCAGTGCCTGCAAGGTCCCTCTGCTCAAGAAAGCACATGTCCAGGCCTGTCTGACATTTACCACTAAACATCTGAATGATGCAAAGGAGGACTGGTTGAAAGTGTTGTGGTCAGATGAGACCAAAATCAAGCTGTTTGGCATCAACTCAACTCGCCATGTTTGGAGGAGAAGGAATTCTGCCTATGACCCCAAAAACACCATCCCAACTGTCAAACATGGTGGTGGAAACATTCTGCTTTGGGGGTATTTTTCTGCTAAGGAGACAGGACAACTGCACTGCATCAAATGGACGATGGACAGGGCAATGTACCATCAAGTCTTGGGTGAGAACCTTCCCTCAGCCAGGGCATTGAAAATGGGTCGTGGATGGGTGTTCCAGCATGAAAATGACCCAAAACACACGGCCAAGGCAACAAAGGAGTGGCTCAAGAAGAAGCACATTAAGGTCCTGGAGTGGCCTAGCTAGTCTCCAGACCTTAATCCGATTGAAAATCTCTGGAGGGAGCTGAAAGTTCGAGTGGCCAAACGTCAGCCACCAAACCTTAATGACTTGGAGAGGATCTGCCAAGAGGAGTGGGCCAAAATCCCTCCTGAGATGTGTGCAAACCTGGTGGCCAACTACAGGAAACGTCTGACCTCTGATTGCCAACAAGGGATTTGCCACCAAGTACTAAGTCATGTTTTGTGAAGGGGATCAAATACTTATTTCCCTCACAGGGGCGGACTGACCATTTGGAAACTAGGGCACTGCCCGAGGGCCCGGGGTCAGTAGGGGGCCCCATGAGATGCCCCTGGTATCTTTTTCCTAGGCTTTTTTGAGTTTGGGCAAGGACACAGGGCCCCATGATCCCCTATTGCCCGGGGCCCCAGGAGTTGTCAGTCCTGCCCCTGTTCCCTCATGAACATGCAAATCAGTGCATAATTTGTTAGCCATGCATTTTCTTTTGAATTTCTTGTTGCTATTCTGTCTCTCATTGTTACAATACACCTACCATTTAATTTGTAGACTGATAATTTCTTTGTGAGTGGGCAAACATTCAAAATCAGCAGGGGATCAAATACTTATTTCCTTCACTGTATATATATATAAAACATATGAAATGTTGCATGTATGCAATATGATGTTTATTTATTAAAATATTTCAAATATTCAAACAACTATACATTAAATTGTAAAGCAACACACATACATTTTTCAAATAGTTAGGCTTAGTCTGCCATTATGATAATGGCACAAAAATGGGCTAGCAGAAACAGAGGCTACAACCTGGCCAATTTTGGAGAAAGGGGGTTTAGGCTCCTCCAGCCATTTTGATGAACTGTGCATAGGATAGGCACACTGGCTGGAATAATTTGTATGTAGGTACAGGTTTGGTATGCTTTAATGCTTAGACATCAGTCTGCATCACTTTATGATACCTTGTTCTGCTTTTTCTGGGCATACTATTTTCTTACAAGGAAACAACAGCAATAGTGAGTAACCATAACTTCTTAATTTTCCTCTGTGATATGCATTCCTCGACTCCCTTTCACACAGAATTTATTGTAGAAATTGTTCAGTTTGTTTGACAATTAATTAGGCTGTTCAGCTTACCTATTTATTATATATACCTGTGCGTATACACACACACACACGCACACACACACGTAATTTTTCTTACACACACGTTTACTACCCCATTCCATCGCTAAGCCCAACACTAACCTAGTTCTCCTCTTTCTCCTTTTTCTCCATCTTTTCCATCTTTACCATCCCTTCCTGGCAGGCCATTGTGTCCTGGATAACCAGGTGCTCCACCCATCCAGTTGGCACAAGGATTCCGTTGGGGTTGTGTTGGGTCATCTTCAGCCAAAGAATACAATGGTGCCAACAGAAGCAAAACACACACAGAATGTGGAAGCAGCATTGTCCTGTATCACAATGGAGGATTAAGGATACCATTAAAGGATCGCATAAACATATTATGTCAATTGTGTGTGAAGTTAGGTGAGTAGATAACTTACCAGTGGAGGCCATGAGAATTATAGAAACCCAATAGATGACTTATATCATCTGGGTAGATTTCAATTGCTGGCCTTCTGAAAATACAAGTTATCTGGTTGTCATGCTGTTTCTGGCTTCAGTGCTTTCTGAATCATTGACCTGAAACAAGTATTCATATCAGGAGTTTTAGCCTTACCCTATCTTCACTTTACGGCTTGTGGGCCAGTGACTCATGAAGTGTCAAAACCAGAGATGGCCAGGTAACTAGTATTTCCAGGAGGTCAGCTATGGCAGTCTATATTTTCTATACAGGTTTCCTTTAAACCTACATTAATGACTGCTTCCCCAAATACCTCCAGGACTTTTGTGCATATGCAGTCATTATGTATGCAGCTTTTTAAGGTAGAATTCCAGTCAAATTAAACCTAAGCCTAAACCATCTACTACCCCCACTGTAAGACTATTCTATCTACCCTGTAAAAGAAAAGATGTCTATACTTACCTATCCTGAAGACCCTCCAGTCTGATCTCATAACCAGGTCCTAGCACTGGCTTCAGTTTAGAGGAGAGGCAGCAACAACAGCTGCAGAGCCTGGGTGGTGACATCACCCATAGACTTACTATGGGGTATCCTTTGTCGGCGGTCCCTCCTCTACACTGAAGGACCTGATCATGAGACCAGATCGGAGCTAGAGCTACTTCAGAATAGGCAAGTATAGACATTTTTTCTTTTACAGGGTAGATGTATAGAATAGGCTTGCAAAATGATGGCCGGGCTGGACTTTCCTCATTTTGTGTGGATGTCCTCCCAGAACATGCTGCGGTGCCATTGACAGATCACTGTATTGTCTTGCTGCCGATACCATGTGATTGCTGTGACCAATCACAGCAGATCACATGAGAATTGTAAACAATGATCGGCTTCGATTGATGCCATTTATTGTGTACAATTGTGTTGCTAGCTGTGATTGCTCACAGTGATCACATGGTACAGACGGGGTCAATCACAGCCCATCTGTACCATGTGATGTAGCTGTGGCCGATCGCGGTTTTTCACAAAAATACCTACTGAATGAATCAATTTCATTCAGTAAAATTGTTGCCTATACTAGTGAAATCCACTGGTATAAGTAATCATAATGTGTTTAAAAAAAAAAAAATCCTGATCACTTTCTCAGAATAGTACAATGTTACCATGGTAACATTGCATTGCACTGAGACAAAAATAAAGTTCAAAGAGGAGCTCAATGGCACCACATCCCAATTTTAAACAATGACAAAAAAAGGGGGAAGAAAAGAGCAAACCTTCCCAAATTCAGGGGAGATAACTGAATGTTTAAGGTGCCAATGATATAACAACAAAAGCTAAAATGTTACACATTTTATTATTGCTCAAATAAAAAAAATCCATAAGATTCAATAAAAATAAAAAAAATACACTTCTGTATCAAAACATAAGTGATTGCTACTCATTCAAAAGATATTTCCGGTGTCATATTTCTGAAGATGTTTCGCCTATTTCAGGGTTCTTCAAGAGGTATTTTTTAACACCAAATAAATCTGTACATATCCAATGAATTGAAAACCATATAAGTTCAAGGAAATTTTGAATGGCTGACATATGAAGTAATTTAATTGGACAAACAATCCTCTATATAGCCCAGACACAATGATGTATGTCTTTGCCACCGGAGGGACATATGAGCTTTAAGAAATGTGGTTCACACCACTAGATGACCAAGCAGCATAAAAATACACTTACACCCCTTTATTTTAATTGTATCTCTTCAAAAGAGCCAGAAAAATGTCCCAAAATGAGTTTCTCTCACAAAACTTTTGAATCCACCAGTATGGGGATGGCTCCGAAAGCCATATTCAGAACTAATTGAAACAAAAGATCCTCAAGTGTGAAATTATCCACAGAGGCAGATAAAGCTGCAGAAAGCACCAACATTGCAAACACCATCTCCCCATCAGCCAACAAAAGGTTTTCCTCATTAGAAGATTTCCCTTGTATTATTTTTCTAGGGACAGCCCAAAATTTGGGATTTTCTTTTACTTTCACTTTTAGCATTCATATATCATTGTTTACATATATTCAGTGCGATAAATCGCATGTGATTTGCACAGGAACCGCGCCGCATTCCTGTGCAAATCACCTGCGATTTGTGTGCGGTGCGATTGGAGCCATACATTTTGTATGGCTCTAATCGCACTGCATCCGCACCAAAAACGTGCAGGACCCTTTTTTGGTCCACACTAGAATCGGATTGCATGGGTATTCACACCTATGCGATCACATTTTACACATCGCACCGCGTTTTGCGGACCTCTTTTGGGGTGTTGTTAACATACACACCCGCAGCGGTTCGCATGAACGGGGTGCAATTCTGATGCAGTGCGGAATTCGCAATGAAAACACTGCGAAATCTGAACCACATCAGTGTGAACCAGGGCTCAATGATAATGGTAAACAGGACAAATATAGAGGGTCTAAAACTAAAAAACTGTCTAAAACGAAAAAAAACTAAGTTTTGCTTTTAGTTATACAGTACTTTAATATCATACAAGCCTACATAGACTCTACTCTTTGCAATCACTCTCTCATTCTGATTTAATTCCCTTGTCACTTTTTTTTAATGGGCACTCAGGAGATTTATGCCATAATGTGCTAGTATGTACAACATATTAGCACATTATGGCAGGCTCACCTGTCAAACAAATCCTCAGTCCTGGGACTTCCATTTTTTTTCTGGTCTTTCTTTTAGGTGCATTCTGTTCATCCACTTGAAATGCCAGGCCCCAGTGACATCACTCCCACAAATGCGCAGAGGAGTAATTTCATCATGGCACAAACTGGTACCATAAATGTGTCTGAGCTGCACATGAGCGGCTCAGTGTACATTACCACATCCACAGCAGGGAAAAACATTTATGAAAGAAGAAGCCACTAGGGTCTCTTCTTTGAGAATAAACCTACCTACCAGTGTTTTTTTAAACGTTTGACTTTACTTCTTCTTTAAAAATTATACTAGTATATTTTAGTATTTATTATGGGTATTAATATAGTGATAGCACTTTACATATTGTACGCTCACATCAGTCCCTGCCCTCGAGGAGCTTACAATCTAAGGTCTCTAACTCACTTATGTACATACTGGAGCCAAGGAGCCATTTAACCTACCAGCATGTCTTTGGAGTGTGGGAAGAAACTGGAGTACACAGAGGAAACTCATGCAATCACAAGGTGAACATGCAAACTCCATGTAGGTAGTGTCCTGCATATTAAACATGACCCCCTATACTACACATACATAAATACACAGAACAAATTTGTACTTTGAAGTAATGTCTCACAGTTCTTAAACAACATCTAATAGGTTACAGATCCAGAGATATGTGGAAATGGTCTTACCCGATGAATATTCGTGCCCAGTGTTCTGCCTCCTGTGCAATGGACTTCTAACTGCGTTCCATTCTATTCGGAGCATGTGTTACTGTCAGTTAAAATTAATTCTCTGCATTACTGTGGACAGAGATTATTTAAAGGTCAGTATTTAGATCAGGAATTCTCTGTGTCTAGTGGGAGCAGTTTAAAGATCGCAAGTATTCTCAAACTCTTTGAAGCTCATTGTAAAAACTGAAAAAAACATAAAAGATCAGTCGCTTGATAAATTGCTTTATTGCAGTTCTTATTGTAACATGTGAACCTTAAGGACAAACTATATACATGCCCTTGTGAGTGTCTATATAAATACAATTAAAATATTTAAATTACTTGTATATATGCACTCACATCGATTACTACTAACTGATGTCACCAATTTCAAAGACAAATCACAATGCTTTATATTGAAATTTAAAATGTGTTCTATATCATGGATACTGAGCAACATTGCTATAGGCTGGAGTTTCACCTACATTTTTTTTTTTGGGGCAACTTCAAAAACATGTATATAAAATCAGATATATATGTATGTACTATATATAAATATTTAAAACTAAATTAAAAAATGCATTCCCAGTTTCTTTGCAAGGTATGTGCACCCAGGCATTTTAACTTCATTTTGACATTTTGACTCATTTCTAATCTTTTTCTTTGTTTTGGACGTTGTAAGGAGCCTGGAGCACAGTAGACATCTCCCTTTTCTTGGCTGTTTGATACATGAACTTTATTGAGATTAGCTAATGTATCTATTAATTGGGGCTGATCTACTAAAGCAAATAATAAAAGCAGTGATATATCATTGTATTGTGTTTACATAGTGAGGCTGTGTGAAGTGATTGTGATCTCTAAAACACATGTACAGTGCAATCACAGTTCCCCATGACTGTGGAATATCTAGATAATTCTGCATTTGTGTTTCTCTTCCTTTAAGTTTCTACTTCTTCCTTAACCACTTGCCCTCCAGAGGATTTACCCCCCTTAATGACCAGGCCTGTTTTTGCTACTAGGTGCTGCACTAATTCAGCTGATAATTGCGCGGTCATGCAATGCTGTACCCAAACAAAATTTACGTCCTTTTTTTCATACAAATAGAAATTTCTTTCTGTGGTATTTGATCACCTGTGCGCTTTTTTTTTTTTTCGTGCTATAAACAAAAAAGCCTGAACATTTTGAAGAAAAACTATATTTTTTACTTTCAGCTATAAAAAATATATAGTAAACTCAAAGTTAGTTATAAATTTAGGCCAAAATATATTTTGCTACATGTTTTTGGTAAAAAAAAATCCTAATAAGTGTAGATTGATTGCTTTGTGTGAAAGTTATAGCATCTACAAACTATGGTATAGATACTGCAATTTACGCCATTTTTTTTGCTATACAGCGCTGCACTAGTATAATAGACAATTGCGCGGTCATGGAATATGGTACATACATTAAATTTATGCCCTTTTCTCACACAAATAGAGCTTTATTTT